ATGTATCTATCAGAAAATCATGATTTGGGCTTTCCTTTTATCTTTACACAGAACTGGTTACATCTGAAGAGCTGTTACATCTGTGTTGGATATTGCTGAGAATTCCTAAGGATGACTCAGATGACAAATTATATTTGATGGAGAGTCTAGTGGGATTTGCAGAGTGGAGCTTCAACCCTGAGAATGATTAAGTTAACTGAAGACTCAACAGGGAACTCCTGAGCTGCTTCACGATATGGCATCCCAGTTTCTGTGTCACCCCTGTGGTAAATTTATAAAGTAATCACACTATTCAGGAATGAGATTAGGTAAGGAGATGAATTTCAATTTTCTATGAATTTTCAAATATAATTACAATAATAATTATGATAGCAAATAAAGCTATAATTAAAACATAAGTATATAAGGGCTTCATTCAAGAGAACATGCTTACAATACTTCAGAAAGTTTCACAATTCAAGTAGAGGCTTGCCAGTAGTTTCCCTTTCAATGGTTAATAGTCTGTTATGTTAAATAAGATTTCAGGTGACAGGTTTATGTCTACATAAGAGAAAACTCATAGATACTTATCTACTTATGTGAAGGAACATTGATATAGCAAATACAAGTTACCTTACATGTATATTAAGGAATTTTTCTAGAAAATTTTACCTGCTCGAATTTTTGTCAGCTTTTAAAAGTATATACATATGTATTTAGTTATACATATATGTGTGGGGGGTATATAAACATATACATACATAAACACACAAAAACACATATGTAAATGGTTTTGCATGCTCTAAGATTGTACTTCACTAAGTGTAAATTAGTGAACTTTTACTTAAATACAATACTGAAAATTACTGAAAGATTAATGACAAGACAAAAATCAGAATAGTAATTTTTGTAAATTGGCCATTAACTCCATAACACTATCATTTCACAATGCTTCATTAGAAAAAATACAAAATTAAGTGTCAGATTTGTATTTACCACACTCTAAATTGCATAAAAATATCTTTACCACAATCAGTGATTAGTGGAAAGCATGGTGAAAATATTTGTAAAGTGTGCTAGTTAGTTCCAATTGCAATGAACTACGTTGAGGGTCACGTAACCTCTTTGAACTTTCTGTTCATTCTTGGGATACTTCCCAGCTGCAAAATACGAAGATAAAAATTCAGATCCTTAGCTTTAATAGCAAAGAATAGATAGGAATCAAGACATTTAGTTTTTTCTAACTAAATTTTACTGGAACTTTATTTTACTAAATGTCAAGAAGACATGGATTTTGTACAAAAGTGAAAATTTTTAGTTAGTTACAATTCCAATGAGTAATTTTGAGAGTCATGTAACCTCTTTAAAGTTTCTGTTCATTCTTGGGATGCTTTTCAGCTGCAACATACAAAGATAAAAATTTAGAACCTTAAGTTTAATAGCAAAGAATAGATAGGAATTGAGATGCTTCGTGTTTCCTAACTAAATTTTACTAAAACTTTATTTTACTAAATGTGAATAAAATATAAATCTTGTACAAAAGTGAAATTTCTAGGCTAAAAAGAAATGGTTATTAAAATAGTTCTATAAGAAAAAAAACAAGGGGTCAATGAACTCTACCTTGGGGACTAAGGGGAAATTAAAGAAAAGGGTCTTGAAGACTTGGTCATATAATCACCCAAATACTGGACTATCATGTCCCACTGCTGGTATAATTTGCCTCAATCCTGGAAATATCCATGGTTAAATATGTTTAAGTCCTGCAAGTACAACATGACTTTTTCAACTGTATTTCTGGCTCCACTATGCACATACTAGTATTTGTTCAAATTCCTTTAAAGGAAATACAACTCTTCAAATGTGGTTTTACCCTTATCAACAGAGTGAACTGATCCACCTCTCTGGGAATAATAAAAAAAGACCTGCATTGTATTTTACAGTTGTACTGGTATTTCTATTATCACAAGTACTTTTTTAAAGGCTTTACAGTGATTTGAAACCTAGAAAATGTCCCTAAAAATAAAGCATGTGGTTGGCTTCAAAAAGAAAATCACACATAAAGCAGCACAACAAAGGGGAGGGGAGAGGAAAGAGAGAAAGATTGAAACATTTCTGTTCCATGTGTTTTCCATGATAGAGATAATTGATTTTCTTAGTGCTCTTGTAGAAAGCGCTGCTGGCATTCACTGGCCTACTGAGTTCATCACAGCTGTGCTTGTGCATCTCTCTCAAACTCCACTTTCCACTGAATTGGAAAAGATTTGAATTTTTGGTTGATCATCTGCCACACCCTTGCTTTGCCTCATCTTTCCAGGCACTCTCTTTGTTAAAGGAGATCCAGATAAATCAGTGCTTCAGTTGGTGCAGGTATTTAGATTTGAGTTAAACCTCTAAATGCAATCCAAAAAGCAAAATGACATGTTTATGTGTCCTGGTTAACATCAGTGAAGTCAGGGAAGTATGGGAAGAAATGTGTGTCTAGATAACAATGAGGACAGCAGTTCCTGGATGGCATAATAGGATTCAGAAGTGTATGCATATCACCTAGTTCAGACCCTGTATTAGGAAATGCTTTGACCCCGTATAAAGAAATGCTTTGATAGGAGGTAGAGAAATAGGATCTGGGACACAGAATGCAAAGAATCCTAGTGCAAAACCTCCAAATAAAATCATATATTTGAGGTAGTGAAGAATGGTAAATCAGAATATCTGGAGAATGAATTTTCTAGGTCTCTCCTGGAGACCTTAAAATGCAACAATCCTTCCATATGCAAAGCATCGGCTAATGTTTCTTAAGTGAGTGCATCAATCATGAATTTTTCTCATGAGTATAAGGCTTTTATTTGAATAGTTAAGTAAATTAAGAATTTTAGAACAGTAGTAATTTTATTTATAATGCCTAAAATAAAGCATAACAAACATTATTTTTAAAATAACATTTCTCATTTTTCACAGTGGAAAATAAATCTGATGAAGAAATTCAATAAATTTCAGCTTTTATTGACCACCTAAAACAATGAGAGAAATCTAATATAGATATATGAATTCTATGTAGATACAAAGACATCATGAGAAAAACTATGTTTCTGAATTGGTGTGAACACAGGAAATATTTTTTATGTACAGGACAAAGATGTTTCAAAGACAGAAAGATGCATATAGCAGCGTTTCCCCAACATCTCTACTGCGATCCAGTAGAAAAGCTTATATTCATGACCATTCTGAACAGTTACTTTTCTCCCACGCCCCCAAGCAGTGACTCTCCAATCTAAAATAAAGAAACACGAGAGGTTGGTCTCATTCTAGTTTTTCTTTCCTGTCATCGAATGATGTCATCTACACTGAGATGTCTTGGTTTGTGCTCCTTGTGACTAAAGATATAAGAAAGTTTGGGAGGCCGAGGCGGGTGGATCACAAGGTCAGGAGATCAAGACCATCCTGGCTAACACGGTGAAACCCCGTCTCTACTAAAAGTGCAAAAAAATAGCCGGGGGTGTTGGCGGATGCCTGTAGTCCCAGCTACTCGGGAGGCTGAGGCAGAAGAATGGTGTGAACCCTAGAGGCGGAGCTTGCAGTGAGCCAAGATTGCGCCACTGCACTCCAGCCTGGGCGATAGAAGGAGACCCCGTCTCAAAAAACAAACAAACAAACAAACAAACAAAAATATATAAGAAAGCAAGTGTGCCACTGTCCCTACTTACAGGATTCATGTACACCTGGGAATACACATACGAATTGAGTGAAAATTTAGTAACACAAATTAGAAGAAAGAGAAAGATGAAAATAAGTTTAAAGGAGGTATTTTACTTAAGGAGGAAAGTTTTGCATTGGGGCATAAGGAAGTGACTTCCATGAATTGGTGTGAAATGGGGAGAATTGTATGTGCACAGGCATAGAGATGGACATGTTTAGGTGAACATGAAGAAAATTAGTTCAAGTGACCTTGATTAGAATTGAAATTTCCACTGTAGATTATAGAGATAGATGAACTAACTGTGAACTGATGATTAGGGTGTAAAGAAATATCTCCACTGCCAGATATATCCTTATACTGTGGACAAGCATATTTTTCCTGCAGAGATTTATAAAAGACCTATAAATGGTATTTGCCCCTCTTTCAAATATGACACAAAAATTGCTGCTTGATAGATCCAGAAATATATTGGAAAGTTTTGTGGATGAGGATCTGGAAAGTATACACATAAAAGTCTAAATTAGAAATATGTATACTAATCTTTAGAGTAATGCAGGAAAAAAAAGACCACTTTCTCTGGTACTCTTTTGCTATTCTATGTGATAAACTCTTTCTCTTCCAGTTTCCTAAAAAGTTATGTCATGAAAAGGCTGAATTTTTCTCTAGAAAGATCTGTTCTGTCTTTCCCAGGCAACATAAAAATTGGAAATCTCACAAGAAAGCACTCTGGCTTGCTAAAGAAATTTGTGAGAAATGGAAACAGCTATAGATAAGTATCTAACTTTTAGGAAGCCATGTAAACATAGCTCAAATACTTTGTCTTTTGACATTTGCCTGAAACTTAACTTCTAGGACCCAGGGTGGGTGGATGAGTCAAAGGGGCAAACGGAGGCTTTTCTTTCAGTGAATCTCTTACAGTCCCCTATTTAAATTGAGTTAGGATTAATTCTGGCAAAATCCCAACATAAAAATCTTCTAGAAGATCAGTTCTGCAAATTAGACATACCGGATGAATGGGCATCCAGCAATTTTTCAAAATTATGGAGTTGTTAACTTTATAAGGGGAAATAAAAATGTATGCATTTACATTGTATATATTAAAACAAGGCAGAGCATTTCTATACGTTCCTAAGTTATACAAACATATATGTAAGACTGAAATATGTAACAAACTTTTACATAAGCAGATGCATACAAACGCCAGATGTGCTCTTTTTGTTACTGTGGGTTGTGTCTTCTATAAGGGAAAAAGAAATATTTATCATTTCTTTTACTGCTGAGGGGATGGGTGCGGCTCTCATATTTCAGAAAGGGGCTGGAAAGTGAGGGAAGCCAAACTTTTTCCTATTTAAGGCCAAAGCAAAGGAATCTCAGTGGCTGAGTTTTATGACGGGCCCGGTGCTGAAGGGCAGGGAACAACTTGATGGTGCTACTTTGAACTGCTTTTCTTTTCTCCTTTTTGCACAAAGAGTCTCATGTCTGATATTTAGACATGATGAGCTTTGTGCAAAAGGGGAGCTGGCTACTTCTTGCTCTGCTTCATCCCACTATTATTTTGGCACAACAGGAAGGTGAGTAGGTACTGATTTCAAGGAACTTTATGGGATTTTTGTCTTTTCTTCTCCTCACGAAGAGGGGTGCAAAGGGGGAAAATCAGTTGCCTGATTAAAGATAATTTCCTCTATAAGCTCCAAATTGTGAAATGTTGAACTGACTATAGTTGTGCTTTTACATTACTTGAAAAATAATAGTGTTATGTGTGTATTTAAGAGTTCTGTGGTTGTTTAAGATAAGATGTTCTTGTACTAACTTGTTTTCATGTTGAAGGCACTGGAAACTTTTAAAAATGGCTTTAAAATTTTTCCCTCCTGGATTGTTAACATCTTGGAATACTTCCCCAGGCAGTCTGGAAGTTATTGGTCTCTTGCAATAATTTTATGTTCTTCTTTGTCTGCTGGATTCTTTGTAAAGTTAGAATATCAAGCATTGTTTTCTAAATAAGAATGCGTTTCAAATATCATGGATTAAGAACAGTCTAAAGGAAGGTACTATGCATTATCAGAATCATTGAATATATTTCTGTAAAACGGCAACAAGATACCTATAAATATTCTTCAAAGGGATCAAACTGCTAAAATATTTTATTATTCCTGTTTTTATTTTGTTTCAAGAATGATTGATTAATTCATATTTTCTAGTAGCAAGACGTTAAGGGACTAATATTTTCCACATATTCTACATTTTAACTGCATTCATATTAATGAAGAAAATATTTTTAAAAATGTTTTTTTAACAGGAGTTTTGACTTTGCTACAAACAAGGTAAAGATACTAGTACTGTTTGACTTCAGAAAGCTGTTTAGCTATATTTTCTAATAATTGCATGTGATATTTTTCATATTCTAATTTCTCCTAAAAATACATTTGTCTCATTATTTATGTGAAAATATTCTTTTATTTACCATAGTCATGAAAATACTGAACAAATTGGAATACAAACTTCCATAGAAATAAATATTTAAATGCTAAATGTAAAGATAGCTACGGGAAATTACTAGAGAATTTTTACTGCACATAACTAAACATGGTTACATTTAACCTTATAGATTTTGCAAAAGACATTGCATGATAATTTGTTTTTTGTTTGTAATATCAAATGTCTTTGTTGTCCTCATAGGTAATACATGTAAATGTGTGTATGAGGGGAGGGGTAGATATACAATGAAATGTCTTCAGTTATATTCAGCCCATGGACAAAAAAGAAAAGAAACACCCATATTCCTTGTTCCCTTAATTTCCTCTCCTCCTTACCCCTCCTCTCCTTCCCTTTCCCCTCCTCCTTATCTCTCTCCACCCCTTTTGGCTCCTTTAGACTTCTCTTCACTCATCACCCCACCCCTCCCTAGGCAAGCCCATCTCTACTCCTCTCTCCTCCTCTGTCTTCCCTGCCTGTTCCTCCCTCCCTACTCCCCATGTTGCCTCCTTATGCCTCCATTTCTTTTTTTAGTTCTCTCTCTCCTTGTCTCCTTGCCCTTTCTTTCCCCTGAACTCACAATCCTTCTTCCTTTCTTATTCCTCTCCTCTTTTCCTCCCTATCCTGCTCCTTCCAGGAGATGCTGCAACTCACAGTCCTTTCTTAGGATACCAAATGACTACTATCCCCCACCACCCATTTATTGAAAAGACTACAAACTTGGAGGTTTTAGCTAAAAAAATTGCAATGTATTTGTAGTTGCCTAGTGGTTGCAAGCTTTTTGTAAGCCCTGTGGCTATTTTTCTTCCCAGTCCAACTTTAGAGGGGGAGTGTTTGACACTTACAGTACCTTATCATCACATTAAGTTGTATTTATTTCCCTTTTTCTCTTCAGATGCAAAAAATAATCAATAAATATAAAATTTTACTGATGAGTGTTTGTGTGCTCTTAAGCTCAAAAAGAGTTGAAAGAGAACTGTTCAGCCTATATTTTTTTTTTGTCATGAATAAAAGTAAAGTTTAATTGACTTAAGACAGTACATCTTACGTTCCCTGTGGGTTTTACAAGAAAATTCTGCTATTAGATAAGGTTTGGAAAAGTTACAGGAGGCATGTGAATATTCAGCACACTGAGAACGGTCATAAAGTTCTAGGGTGGTGTTTCTTGTATATGTCCTCATAACTTCAGAGACAGCACAGCTCTAATGAACACTCACTTCTAGTTCACACACAGGCATTTTCTGGGTATAAAGAAGTCCTCAAAAAGAATTTTGGTCTCCTTACAAATTTGTGAAAATTGTATTTAATTCATGTGTTATATTCCACCAATGGAGAAACATGGTCTGTTTTATATTTCCTGTAGTTTATAAACATGCCAAATTTTAAGTGCAAAGATGCGTCACCTAGTGGCTGACAAGCCAGGTTACCATTTACATAACGAATGCCAATATTAATGTTACGTAGCTGGCTTCAGTAGTTTATAATGAGCTTTAAAAAAATCATATGCGTGAATTTTAAATGTTAACACTGCTTTCCTAAGGAAATTAGTCTGCTACAGATAAATATTGCAAACACATATACTGACACACAAACACAATGGTAACAGTATTCAGAGACTTTTTGGAAATTAGCTTAAATGTTATGGCCATTTAAAAAATTCCACATATGACTATTTTTTAAATATATTTTTCATGTCTTTGATGTAGTCCTTATTTGACATAAGTATTTTATTCACTGCTTAATTGCTAGATAGATTATAGACAGCTGGTACTAAGTAATGCTGCTTCATTAGGACAGAAACAGAAACTTTAGTTTAATTAAATGTGTACTAATGTTTGAGTTTCTATATTTTGCTACAGTGATAATTCCAGTAAAATAAACTGTGGACCTTTAGTTGTTTGAGATTTTTAAAACTGTAAATGGACTCAGAGAATCAGTTTCTTGATAGATGTCATGAGAGTATATTTTTCATTATGCTTTAAGAGGGAATTTATACCTTGCTCAGGTAACATTCAGGTTTTCTGGTTTGCATTTGTCCCTACAATTAAACACATTAAACTACAGGAAAATGTTATAAATTTAGGAACAACTGCATTTTTAAGCGGAGAGGATGCATAGTTGCTCACACATCTCAGTGTCAGTCACCTAACATGGATCAGTGCTTTATTTGAGATTACAAAACTAGAAAATGACAAAGTCAAAGCTAGGACCAATATTCTGTTAAGTCTTAGATAATTACAGAACACACATTAAAATTAGAGTATTTGAATTTTCTTAGTTTTGTAACTATTTGCCATTGAAAGGAGATACTGAAAAATCATATATCATCCTAGAAAGTACATGAGCTAATAATGCATTTCTAAAGGTGAAGAAAGAATAAGTATTTTTCTGTTTAATACTCAATTTTATAGAGAGTAGAACATTTATTTTTTAAAGCCCAGAAGCTCAGGATCTTATTTTAAAAGAAATTATCACCAGTTCTGTGTGAGTAAATAAAGTATTATAATGCAACACTTTGTGTTTTCCATTCATGATACTTGTATTTCCTTACCTGAGCTTTATTTCTAGGGAAGGAAAAATGCTCAGGTAATACTAGAGCTTTGAAAAATTTGGATTTTCAAAAATACCTATTTATGTATAGGACTTTAGCTCATCTAATGTTGAATACTCTTTAAATGATCTAAAGGCCTACACATAAAAAGGTATTTTTATTAAATTCTGGAATTAAGTAAAATTCAGCATTATAAGACAAGAAAGCAAAGCCACTGGAACAATTCTGGGAAAGAAGGAAAGACTGTGATTAAATGCCTTTTAACTAATTCAGATTCCTGGATTGATGTCTTATTTACAGGCTTCCTTTTAAAAATCAAGAATGATTGGCTGTGAGTTTACCAGGATTATAGTTGAGGCTAAAGGACAGCTCCTCAGGAAAGCCCCTGTTCTACATCTACAGTCACATGCTGGACTTGAGTTGTCACTCAGAGAAAAGAGTGCCATCTACCGAAACTCCACAGTTTCCATTGTGAATGGCTTCTTTGGTGCAGAGTTCCAAAAATTATGTAGCCCAGCTCTTTAATTTTGTAACATCTAGTGATATCACCGCCTTGAAGTGATTAAAGCAGATTGCTTAAGAATTAAAGCTTTAAAGATGAAAGATGTTATTGCTTTTGCTGGACATGAGGAACAGTTGTAAAGTTTCCAGGTCTACAATAACTTTCTGGAACTCTCTCAGTGAACTGTTTCTTGTAAAAGTTTTCCCTAGGAAAAAAGCTCAATCCCATTGTTTCCACGCTCAAAAAAAAAAAAAAAAAAAAAAAAAAAAAAGGTCATATAGTGTAAAAAAAACTCTCCAGACTTTTCAAAGGGGAAACTTTGCCTGTTTCATGTCAAGATGACAACGGAAAAAATGAGATAGCTATTCTTACATAAATCACTTGTGAACTGCAGTTTGGGGAGTTACATTAACCACCAGAGTTTCAGTCTGTGTCTAATGAAAACACAGCAGAAGTGGATTCCTTTCAGATTAACTAATAAAACCCTTGTTTTTTTCCATGACTGAGGTCAAGCACTGATGTTTAAAATGTAGTCTTAATGAGCAAAATGAAACGTTGAAAGAGGACGAGTCAAAATGCCCAAAAGATATAAACATCAAAGAGAAAAGATCCAGAAATTATTAAAAGTTAAATTTCCTTTGAATTCTAGTGTTAAGAAAGTACCGCTTGAGTAAAATGGCATACATTTTTCTGAAACTGTTTTTGTATAGTATTTTCTGTGGAGGATGACAGAGACTGCATTTCTCAAGTAAATTAAAATCATAGATATACTCTTTGAAATTGCATAGCATGTTCACAACGTTCGCGTTTCATTCAATGAAAACCTCTAATGAACTTAGATAAGCATTAATAGGAATCATTTAATAACTATATTTTCTGAAAAACAGTGTGTTAATGAGACATCTTAAACATATTTTTGCACTGGATGCAGAAGTCTTTTCTGTCTGGTACTATTGTTGTTAGAATCCTACTTTTTTGTATACAGCAAAACGTATGCAGGGTTTCTGAGTCACACATTTATTCTGTTGGTGGTCTGGATGTCACCA